TTGAGAGTTATACGGTATCATTCTTGCAGGGGATATCGATTAATCGTGAAAGAAATGCATTAAAAGCGAGAAAACGAGGATAGTTTCGTGTGACATATACCAAGTCTGGGCTATTTTGGTCTCAATGTCTCCGTCCTTCCCTCGTTATAAGGAAGGCACAGGCGGGCGCGGGCAAATCGAGCCTGGACCTCCTGTGGATTAACAAATAGATAAATGCAAAGTATGTTTTATTTAGGCTTTATCCTTTGTCCTTGTTTAACAAAATCGATTTAAATTGTTACGTTTCTCCACCACTACGTAATAATAAATTATTGTTAATAATATTTTTATTTTTTGGATGCTCAGAATGCAGGAAAATATAGCATTTCCAGGTTTCAAATTTCAAAAATTTTCTGGGGATTATTCCTCCAATAAGTAATGATAAATTACGGTTAATATTCTTTTTTACTTTTTGTGCATTTTTTCCTTCTTTTATTTCAAATACAACTATTAGCATAAATTTTAGAGCAAATTTGGATGCTCAGAATGCAGGAAATGGCATTTCCGTGCTTCAAATTTCAAAAATTTTCTCGGGGAGTACACCCCCACACACGCGACCATTGCTATCCGCCTCTAATAAGTATTGATAAATGATGGTTAATTTTTTTTTACTTTTTGTGCGTTTTTTCCTTCTTTTTTTTCAAATACAAGTATAGTTAGGATAAATTTTGGAGCAAATTTGGATGCTCAGAATGCAGGAAATGACATTTCCGGGATTCAAATTTCAAAAATGTTCTGGGGGAGTACACCCCCAGACCCCTCCCCCCCATTCATGCGTGGTATATTGGCCACAAACGTGGCCTTAAGCCATTGCTATCCCCCTCTAATATATTATCTCACAGAAAGGTCCCTTTTCAAAAAATGCCCCCCCACCAGAAAATCCTTAAAAAAGGCCCTGCAAGTTGTTTCCTTTGCCTCGCAAAGAGCCTCTGGAACCAGGGTAACTGCAACCAGACAACCCTGGGAATGTTGCGACCACATGCACACGCCTTGGCACATGCCGAGCAGCTTATCGAGATGTGTGATTTATCACATATCTTGAATAAGACGCAATGCAAAATCTATTAGTTTTATAAAACCCCTAGCTACAGTACGCAATATATTATTTCCTTGTTTTCACTGTAGCGGAAATTCCATTACAAATATGAAATGTAAAAACAAAATTTTCAAAACGCCGTTGCTCGCGCCCTGAATGTCCAAACTTCATAATATTTTCGGTGTAGACCAATTTCAGCATGAAGATTTCAATTCTGGGCTCCATTTTTGCCAAATATGAAGATGAAAAACCGATAATCGGTTTGGCGACATATAAATTATATTAAAACGCGGACTCGGAGAATAGATCGACATAAATTCTGTTAATAGAAAATCCCTAACATCATTAAATGCTACAAACTATATGGGATGAACTATATTGAACCATATTTACTTTAAATTTGAAATGACTGCAGCAAAAGATTTAAAATATTTCACGGTCATTGTTTAGTAGCAAACGTAATATTAAGTATATTTCGCTACAGAAATACTCTCGTAGACTACATGCCAATATAGAGAATATAATTCAAACAAACTTACTGATCGACGTCCATGTCGCAGTTTAACTTTTAATCAGTAACGCTTCGTAAAACTTTAAAAATTTCTTCGTAAAATAAAATTTTCAAAAATCGAACTCAATAGTTGTTTGTGATAAAACTGTTTGAATTTGGCAGACAACGACCTCGCAGTCACATGATCATTTTCCATGCTTGCTATTGGTCACTGTCTCAGTGGTCACTGTTTGCATTCCGGTCCGACGAGTCAGCGGATTTAGTTTATTGTTGATACGTGATATAAGAACTTTCATATGCTGAAGTCTTCTTCTATTTGTTCTCTGCTATTTGTTATTTTGTTGAACAATGGTGTTTTTGAATTTTCGTTGCATTTTGTACAGCAAAGTTCTTCCACCCCGAGCTCATAAAGGTATATATGATGGAAAAGGTTTAATGTTTGGATATAAACCTACATTTTCAGAGAAAAAGACAAAGAAAGTATGGAAACCAAACGTTCAACGTAAGACATATTACAGTGAAATACTAGAAGAAAAATTGAAATATGAAATGACTACATCAGCAATGAGATCAATAGATAGAGCTGGAGGATTTGATAACTATATCTTAAAAACTTCAGACAAAAGATTGGGTACTAAAGCTGCTACTGAGTTAAAGAAACGTTTGTTAACAGTTATTGAAATGAAAGAAAGAGGCGAGAACATTGAAGATATTAGAAAGAAATTGGCTCCACCACCCAAAATATCAAAACATCAACATGTACCAAAGAAATATACTAACAGATTTTATTTTGAATGGAAAGGCAGAAAACATGTTATCTATTGCTAAAACTTTGCTATAATCTTGAGAACTTTAACATATATATTTAACAAATTTTGAAATTTTTTGCACAAATGTGTGCACTATAAATTTAGATCTTAAACCTCGGACACAGAATAGAGACAAACAGAAGGTCAAAAAAGTGTAACTGCGCACACCATGTTTTACAATGATTTGTCATCAAAATGCTGTTGCCATGTTCCTATAGGCACTGGCTAGGACCATGTTGACGATGCCATTGCAACGGTTAAAGGGGAAGTCAAGTCCGTAATGTAAACAAAAGGTTTGTTTACATTTTGAACTGCTGTATTTTTTAAAATATGATGTACTGTCTGAATATCTAACATCATTTTGGTTTGCTATACTTCTAAATGAGTATGAAATAGAGTTTATGTTCAGAAAAAATTCGAAATTTGGGCAATGTTCACATTAGAGGTCCTCACATTGTTATGAGCAGAACCGATATCCCCTTACGAAAATTTGCTATAGGAATTCCTATAGGAAATCAAAATTCCTATAGGAATTCCTATAGGAATTGAAAATCTTTGATTTGAACTATATGACTGTTTATGATAACATGATTGTTTTCGAACTTGGCAGATTGACTATGTGCAGAACGGACTTGACTTCCCCTTTAACCTTCTGTAAAGTTCATATTCTGTACCTTGGTGGTGTTACATGCCCACTCTCCTTCACAGAGACTTTCAAGCATTTGTATTAGTTGTATTACTGGTACAGTTGTTGGGAAATTAAATTGAAAATAAACTAAAACTGCTTGATACGAGACAGATTGCACACAAGACAGCTAGGCATTTACCAGTCTTGTACCCAGAACATACCTGCCTTTCCAAGGAGCCCTCATACAACATTAACTGTTTGCCTAGCCTGCAGGCAGCCCCATACCTGCGCTCGTTTACGTGGTATGGGGCTGCCCGTAGGCTACGTACTGTATGCCCAACTTTGTACTCTGAGAGCCACAAGCACAGAAACCCTGGGTACGGGGTTGTCTATATGCCATACATCTTGTAATGCCTCTGTGGAAGAGAGCATACTTAGAAATGCTGGGTTGGGTGGTCTTTGCATTCAATTAACAGTACACATAACACATCTTGACACTTTAAATGACCATTCTGAGTGGCCATTACGGCATTCATATTTTATAAAATATTGTAAATAGCGGAATATATATAAACGTTTCGGTTAGATCAATATACAGAACAATGAAGTTTTTTGTAATGAAACATCTGGAAAATTACCAAAATACCTTCGGCTAGCGCCCAGTCTTTTTGTTTTGTACTCGCATATCCTGTGGCTAATGGATATATAATCCTTCAGGGTGCAAATAACTGTGGTAGCCGCCTAAAAATGTCTGTTATTTACAATCTGTGGTTTTTTAAAACTCTGAAAGTTTAGACTTTGAAAATAAGCCGTAAACCACGTTTTAAAATTTAAAATGGAAGATATTTACTCGGCGTGTCGCGAGGGAAACGTACGTTTTGTGAAGCAATGGCTGGAAGAAACCACCAATGATCTTAATCAAGGGTTTGTACTCTTTGTAAGATAGTCTGTCACCGTGTTTGAGAATTGATGCCAGTTGTAACATTTCTTTGTGTTTCGTTTAAATATATTCTACCATGGTAGACATATATCGTGATATATTTGGTGTAACATATTCAAATGTATAAATATGTGACCGTCTGAATTCTGAAATGTTCTATTTTTGTTTGATATTTTTATAGTGATGATCACGGATTTACACCACTCCACTGGGCGTCAAGAGAAGGATGGGTGGCGATATTTGACATTCTCATTGCCAGAGGAGCGAGAATTAATAATCTAAACAACGGCGGAGACACTCCATTACACTGCGCTGTGAGCAAGGGACAGAAAGCAATTGTTACAAAGGTTCGTTCTAAATTCACAACAACAATTCTAACTCACCAATTATCTGTTTATGATATTATATAAAAAATTCATAGTCATCTTATAAAGTACTCAACTTTATTATCACAGTGTTATTTATTATTTATTGTAGTGTTATAGTATATACATTATTCCTGTAAATTCAAATAAACGACAGAATTAAACAAGGGACTATTGAATGCTCAACCATCAGGATAACAATTGTAGAGGTTCAGGTGCATTTATTCTACCTGATTAACCAATCAAATACGTATTAAACATGTGATTAGTACTGTCAGTTGTAACAAGCTTTTAATTAGTTACTTTACTTCACCAATCCCTACTCTGTAGAGCTGTGCAGTACCAGAGATTACATCTCGGTTCCAGTTTCAATCTTTTTTGGGGGTGGAAGAACCATTTCAGAACCGGTTTTGGTATTTTCAAAAGAAAAACAATTCAAACCATTTGCTCAATAAATTGTAATATAACTTCGAATTAATTAAACAACTTATAACAAGTTAAACAAAAAACAAAAACATCTCCATTGGTTATGGGTAGACTAGAGAAATAGATATATTCTGAAATAAAATTATCAGAAAGTTGCCGACTTCCGGTGCTAGAAAAAGAACCGAACCGACCAAATATTTTGGTTAACCACACAGCAGCTCTACTAGAGGGTGGGAAAGGGTATTTTCGTGAGCCGTGAATGGTCAATATTTGTTCGCGTGAAATGTGAAATGCTTGATTTTAGTGTCGTGAAATGTGATTTGTTCCACAGCCGTGAGGCGTGATTGTTGATAAAAATGAGAATTATAAAGGATGCCTGTTTAGTGAACTGTGATTATTATAGTGCTTATTATAATAAACATGATACGCGATAATCAAATTTATATGATCTCACTCGATTGCACAAGAGTAAAAACTTCGGAGGCCTTTCGCGAGGTTCCTGGCGCTGAAGACAAGGTTCCTGGCGCTGAGGACGAGGTTCCTGGTGCTGAGGACGAGGTTCCTGGCGCTGAGGACACACGCGGAGGTCGTCGTACATTCTTGTCACTCAAACTTTTAAGTTATGATGTAGTTTTTAACTAACAGGTAGAGAAATTAGAGAACTTAAAGCATAGATACTGTACCATGCATTAAACATAGTCTTAATAAACCTATTATTATTATATTATTTTATGAGAATCTAGTTTTCCGTGAAATTGCTTTTTTAAGACACGTGAATCGTGAAACGGCTTTTTTTTTCGTTGTGAAACGTGATCCATACCCCCCCTTTCCCACCCTCCTACTAGTCTGCCATTGCCATTGGCACTCCTACTGTAACTATAATGTATTTTTTATTGCTGTAGTTGTTGAATCTAAATGCATTTGTGAATATTGCAAATGAACATGGTAACACACCACTTCACTATGCTTGCTTTTGGAGTTATGAAGAAATTTGTCGGGTGAGTATCATTTGGGGAAGGGAAAATTTGGAGAAAATCTTGTTTTCCAAACAGAAAATTAATTGTGTCCTGCTAGTTTCATATTTTGTGAGACACTTTTCAATAAACTATCCTGAGCTCTCACAACACATAATTTGCAACTTTCATGCTGATTGGCTATAGATGGGTTTCACTCAAGCCTTATACATAAGAAACACTTGGTGGTCAACTTTACATATATTGCTGCTTTATGCCCTGTGTAAGCAAGTACATTTTGTTAAATTGCATATATTTGATACCAAACACAAGATCAATACTTATAATGAATATTTAACTCGATCCAAAAAATGTTTCTATTTGGAGTTGACCACCAAGTGCTATTTAAACATATCATGTGACTGAAACCCAGCTATTGGCTGATATAAACATCAATATAGATATGTCTGTATGTATCTGGGTTTCTAATAAATAATATGCAGCTCTGGCTTTTTCTAGTAACACTTTCCTTCATTTTATAAAAAAAATTATTACCAACAAAACTTGAGAAGACTAGACCAATCTCCATCACTTTTATGCTGGAATGATTGAGAAACAAACAACACAGTCAGTTAGTCAGATCTTCTTAATTGTAGACCCTCTGGGCAACTCTCTGGGCATCCTAGTGCATTTTATTATTATCAGAAGTAGATTTCCCCTATCCCCCTTCTGACAGCAGAAGTTTCTAGGGGTGCACCGGAACCAGTTTTTTAAGTTCCAGCCGGAACCGGATCTGGCTGGAACTGGAAAAAAGTTCCGGTCGCAACCGGAACTGATTAATTAAGCCACATAAAGTTATATGTTACTTTGTCTGCTGCCAGACAGGCAGACACTTCAAGTCATCAAGGAGAGAGCACGCAAATGTTAGAACTTAGAATAAAAAGATTGACAAACGTTAAACATCATAATGAAGTGTTAATGGTGTATATTTTCCTTGTGTAGTCCAAATTTCTTCCTACTGTGAACTTTTGTTAGACACAAAAACGTTTGATATTCTATCTCTCTGAAAATAACAGAGTTCCCGTTCCGGTCATGCTTTTTTTATTAGTTCCGGCTGGAACCGGAACTCCGAAAAATCAGGGTTCCGGCCGGAAACTAACCAGCCAGAACCGAGTTCCGGTGCACCCCTAGCCCGCGTGCAGGCCCAAGGGAAGAATAGTGGTCCTGTAAGCAAGGTCCGGTATTTTGTACTTTCCGCATTCACCCACGAACGCGGCATTCTGATTGGCTGTTTGCTGTTGGATTCTATAATTAGATCACTGATTCATCACAAAGGCTCTCGATAAGCTTAAAATTCGAAAATTGATCACTTTCTTCGATTAAAAATGGAACAAGAACAGATTGTTTATTGTTTACTTGAAGAAAGGGATGTTTTTGCCGTTATGCCAATGGGGATTGCTTGTCGTGAAGTGTTGGAATAGCAACATTTAAATAGAAAACATGCAATGACGCGAGATGGCGCGAGCAACTGCTCACGTCAGGTCATTTTGGAAGTTGTCACATTTTGTTAATCAGTTTCTGCGACCTGCGCGTAAAAATGGTCACCCGGTTTTGTTCGCGTTTGTTGAGCAGGGTTTTTGTGATAACTATATCGAGCCACCTTAATACGACTGCCGGGGTAAACTATAGTATTAACCTTTACTCGAGTTTCATTAATTTGATATGTTAACAGACTTGATAGTTGATATGTTTGTTATATATGTTCCTCAAGAAAATTATCTTTTGGTTGATATCGACTCTATTCTTGCACTGAAGAAAACAGCGCTTTTCGCGGTGAAGATTTTGAGGCAGTTGCATGTAAGTGCATGTAAGCCTGTTCGAAAGTAATCGAAATACTTTGCAATTTGCAAGGCTTCGCTGAGGGAGCGAAACAGAAGACGGTAATTGCCGTTTGAAACAAGTCTGGACTCTGAACCCTCTCTTCTTTTGTAGAGTTCTTTACCAAATGAAATAACTGAAATAAATTTCGTACTTTCCGCCGCCAACAAGAATTGCACACACGATCTGATAAGTGAGACAATTTATTTATAACAATGGCGACAGTGAAGCACACATTAATGCTATTTAGGGAGTGGTCATTATTTATGGGGAGGGGGGTTGGGAAATGGGAGGGGGGACAAACGAAGTTTTACCCTTATAAATAGGGGGGGGGTCAAAAAAGTTTTAACACAGAGAAAGGGGGGGTCATAAAAGTTTCTGAACTTAAATACCATTCTAGAGTTCTGATTTCTATAATCACAAATAGCAAAAAAGAAGACTCTGAAAATGCTATTTCCAACGATCTAGAGACTCAAAATTTTCAAAATTTCCCTGCTCGGCGCCAACCATGGTAGCGCCTCGCGATCGTGGGAGTCTGGTCCAGTAAGTTTAACAAGCTTTCTACCCCCTGAGTGACCCAGTTGTGGTATTTACATAAACATACCATGCAAGTACACTTAACTGATCAGATTCGGTCTATCAACGCACAATGTAACGCTCTATATCCAAAAATCTGTTTCAGAAAATGCTCACATTTCAGTTCTAGGGGTGGAAAAATACAAAAAAAATTCTGGGGGAGAATACCCCCAGACCCCCCTACTAGTACATACGATACCACACCAAACTTTTTGTCACCAACAACCATCTGTCATCTCTCCACACTCAATATAGTATGGTCCCTTTTTCTAGATGCCCACCCCCCAGACAAGTTCTTAAAAAAACCCTGTGTTCAAATCATTTCGCTGTATGAAGACGGGTCATGGGTTAGGGTTATGGTAGGACAAATGTTGCATTGCAAAGTAGTAACACATAATATATATTTTTTAATCATATATGGTTGAATCATATTCACCAGGGCAAAACATCATGAGCTAGACTAAACAGATTGTTCTAATATCTAACTTCACC